ATGTAAATAACGCGTGTTAAACAGCCGGGATAGTGCAGGTGCGTGGAGTAGCTGTTCTCGGTGAATGTATCACAACATTTCCGTTCGCTGCGCTGTAGTCATGTAGAAAAGCAGCTGAAGTGCTGCCTAGGGAAGCTGGCTGGTTTAGGTGCCTTCCCTAGGTAGGTCATCACCTTATTTTTGCTCGTCATGGTTGTACGTATTTTAGCATTTATGCAATGTTAATACCCGTACTTCAAATGGAATATAGCTGTAAGGAATCTGACATGAAAGCACTAAGAGGTATATTATATGGGTTTCTTCGGGTGTAATTCTGTGCCAGTATTTCATTTAGAAATCCTATTACGTTGTTTGCGTCAGGAAAAGTTAATGTGTTTGTGAAAGTAGGCATGTGTTTTTGTGGCTCTGTGATTCATGATTTTTCTTTGATGTGAAATCATGAAAAACAAGATACCATTTTTCAAGTCTACCCTACATTGACAAAACTGCAGTTGTAATTCACACTAAGTGAGTAATAAGAAAGACTTTCTATGCTTGTGGGTGTATTTAATAGAGTAGAAACATGTAGATGTCTAAGTTGGTGATGTTTTTATCATCTCTTCCAACTGAAATTTTTTCTATAATCCATGTTTAGTGGCTCTTACAAATTACATGTTTATTGTGCTATTCTGTAATGGAATAAGGTTTTCAGGTTTTATTCATAAGTACTTGGTAGGATTGTGGTTGTATTCTTTTTTTCCAACATAAGTAATACTTGAAGTAATTTTTTCTGTACTTCTCCCTTTCTTCTAAACAGGTAATGTGGCACTTGACAATTTACAGATAAAGGAGAATGCATTGGTAAGTATCCTAAAAACTTCTAATTGCTTTTATGGGTCTGATGACTGAGGCTTAGGATCAAATGTTGCTCACTGTAGTCTCACAAACAGATGCACTGAGTTCTTTTTGACTGGTATAGGAAGTAAGTTCTTGGTTAACTCCTTCTAATTTTACTCCTTTTACTGGAAGAGAGAAAGAAAAGCTGTGGTTGAAAAACAAGAAGTAACTTGCATTAAGTTCTCATAATCTTGTCTGGAAAAAAAAATGCCTTGGCTAATTTTCATGTTCTTTAATTTGGCTAATGAATATCTGTACTACTGAGAGAATCTTACTCCAAAATTTAATGTGTTTCAACTTCACTAAAGAGAACTGTTACTCTTCTGTGCATTGAAAACACGTTGGGTCTTTATATGACCTGATCACTGGCTTCTCTTTGTTATTTGAAAGTTTCATAATTTGCTTGTCCATTTCATCCATTCCTCATGGCTTTGTGGTACTTCAGATCTCTTGCTACAAATATCTTCATGTCTAGGAGATAAGAAAGGAAAGAAGTGTTACTTTGTACACACCTTTCCTTCTTGTGGGGATTGATTCAGACTCCAGCAGTGCTGATGTAGAAAAATGCAAAGTCATGTATGTGAGTGACCAGAGCTGAGAGTGAGCTGAGACCAAATCAAGAACATCAAGTAAGGGATGGTTCTGACAGCCTTACAATGGCAATGTGTTAGATTTCCATGCAAAAGTTATTATAAGAAGGTCAGTGTTGAACACCACTTTTAGAGAAGTAGCCTACACTTGAAAAAGAAGGGATCAAAGGAATATGATATGGTCCAGTTCTTCTTTTTTCCTCTAGTTTGCCTGTCTGCTGCTGTCTTGTTTTCCTTCTAAGATTTTCCAGTAGAAAAGAAGTAGCTTTTAATTTATGTATGTAAATAAAGTACTTTGCAAATATAATTTAAATATATTTGATTTTTACTACTTCTGTTTAATACTTTATTTTTGTCATTTACAGAGTGAACTGGATGTACCTTTTAGAATAAAAGTTGGTCAGATAGGTAAGTTTTGGTTCCAACACAACTATTGCAATGGAAATTTTAATATAGGCTGTAAGATCAGTCTTGCCCCTGAATTTCTTTTATCAAGCTTTCTTAAGTGTAATTATACTCACTGTTGAAACTGGCATAGAAATTCAACTTGACTGCCATTGATGGTATCTGGCAAACCCTGTTTGTGTAACTTTACAGATTGATATGAAAAACACATCTGAGAGGTTCTTCCTGGAGACAGGAATGATCAAGGGAGCTGTTCAGTGTAGACAGAGCAAGTGACAAATATGCCAAAGGTTTAGGAACTCTTAGATATTTTTTTTTCATAAATTTCTTTCCCTGGTAGTCAGCATTGCTTTTTCACATGAACCATTTGTAGGAAATATATGTATGTGTAGTATTTTTTCTTCTCCTTCCTGGGAAAATCATATTCATCCCAGTGAATTGAACTTCAGTCATGATCTCAGGTTTTGATTTGAAGTATTCTGACTCAGACTGCGACTTTTTGCTTAAAATCGTGGCTTATGTTTCCTGTGTATGTATTTTATCACTTCAAGGGCTTTATAAAATGTTCATTTCCATATGGTTTCTCCTAACCTTCTAAGGTGTTTAAGACATCAAGATAAAGGAGCAGTGCTCTTTAATGCTGGAGGTGTTCTTTGGACCACAGTGGAGATGTTTGTTTTGATGTAACTGTGTCTGCTTTGTTTAGATAAACTTACTCTGAAGATTCCTTGGAAGAATCTCTATGGGGAGGCAGTTGTTGCAACTCTAGAAGGCTTGTATCTTCTGATAGTTCCTGGAGCAAGTATGTCAACTTCTCAGCAACACTTAAATCATGGAAGTGAAAAATATCCAAGGGTACCATGTAAATGAGTCTAGAATAGCAAGTAGTTCATGTCAGCCACCATTTTTACATTCTGCTCCCTCAGGGAAGTTTCTACACAAATGCTGGCAAGTTAGTAGAAGGGTGGGAGAAAACAGCACTTGTTGCTTTTATGGAGATCCTTGGTTGTATCCATTCCAAGTTCAATTCAACAGCCAAGTTTCCTCTGAAATGTGCTTATCCTGAATCCAGCTTTGTGGCATGGTTTAGATCTTTAGCTGTTTATCTGCTGCTAAATGATAACAGTCAAAGTAGTAATTCCATTTGTCCTGTTTGGAGGGGGAGGGAAGAGGGTCAAAGAACTTTATTAGTTTTCTCTGAAATCAGAACCTCTGGTGTAGTGAGAAAACTTGCAAGTTCCTGGAGCATGAAATATACGTATAGAAGAACATGAAAAATCTGTCTTATATTGCACAGACCACTCTTAGGAGCCTGAATTTCCATGGAAAATTTCTTCCTGTGAAACAGTGCAGAATTGTGTAAAACCAGCAGTTTTGGAGGCTGCCTGCAGTGTTCAGCAATGGAAAAAGAATAGCCTTTCCCTCAAACAAGGTGTTTTGCAACATGATGTTGTATGTGGTGTACATTGCTTGATAATGCATTTATGTAACTTGAGATTTAGGATGAATGCTCTCCCAACTTGGCTTACAGGTGTTAAATATGATGCAGAGAAGGAAGAAAAGTACTTGCAGGATAATAAACAAAAGGAACTGGCAAGAATTGAGGAAGCCTTGCATAAAGCAGCAGAAAAAGGTACTGAGTTAATAATGCAAATCTCCACTGGAATTTGAGGACTTAAGCTGTGCTGTGAAAGAAAACTCCTGGTTTCTAATTGACTTAACAAATTTTGTTTTTTCAAGCATCTGGCTAATCTTACTACAGTACTTTGAGAAGTCTTTTTACTCTAAAGCTTGAAATAAATGCTATTTGTTTGTTTACCATTCATTTATCCAGTCAGCTTCCATGGGAAATGGGAATTTATTCATCTGCTATGTCTTTTATTTTTTTTTTCCTTGGTGCTTTAGGGGAACAGGACCATACAGAGCAATAGAAAGTACATTGTGTGAGGGTAATGTTACCTTGCTTTAGCACCATAATAATAGATAGATGTTTAACTGTGTGTTTTAGAGGTGCAGGTAGGGTGTTCTTTGATGAAAGGAACCTTTATGGGGAAAGCTAAGGCTTTTAAACTTTTACTGCAATGCTTTTGTTCCAGTTTCTGCTGTGCTTTTATCATGTACTGAGTTTGGACTGGTTTGGGAAATGAGAGTCTTGTGAGCAGGAAATAATTTATGACACAACAGAACAACTGAGTATGAACAGGAACCTTTAGGAACCTTAAACTTTTGCTCTAGATCATAAAAAGTGTTAAGCTCTCAATTAAGTCCTGTTAACTTGTTTTGTAGTGGTGATTTTTTTTTTCCCTGTTTTGCTTATATTGTCATAACCCATACCTTTAATAGAATTCTGGTATCAGTTGGGCTTGCTTGGACAGAAACCAAGCTCAGAGCCAGTGACAGGTAACTACATGTGTTGGAGGAAAAAGTTATCACTGAAGGTTTGTCTGAACTGAGACCTATTTGTTTGTTTGTGTAATGCTTCTACAGATGCATTTCTATGATACTTGTAATGCTGCAACTCATGGAAAAGTTACTGGGAAAGAGATGATGCTTTCAACATTTGGAAAAAAGATATTTGGGTGTCATCTCTTTGCTCATTTAATTCTCCAGTTGTGGGAGAGTCTGTGGCCTTTCTCCTGCTCTGCTGGTTTGAGAGGGACATGTGCAGTTTCCTTCAAATGGCAATCTGACAATCTGGCTGCAGTGAAGAAAGGAGCTTTGCTTTATTTCTTGTCTTTAACATGTCAGAAAATATATGAGGGCTAAGTGAATGAATTTTGCAGCCAATCAATTCACTCCATACTGGGGGGAAGGAAGTTGGTGGAGGTTTAAGCTCAGTTCTGTAGCACGTGGAGCCTGTACAGCAGCAGTGCTTCAGCCAATGCTCTTTGCACCTGTAGCAATAGCATGAAAGGAAAGAGAGATGAAAGTTTAAGATGAACTTAACCTAATGGTTACTGCTTGAGGAATTCCAGTTCTGTAGCTTTATGTATTTAAGAAGGAGTCTGTGTGCCTCTGGCTGTTTCCTTTCTCCAGAAAAACTTACTGCATCCAGTGTTTGTAATGCTTTTGAAAAAAAATCATCATAGAAAAATGATGCTTTAGTAGCTCAGCTGGTTATATAAAGAATGGGAGTTCGATTTAGTCATGTTTTGCAGTTTTAAACTTAAAGCCTTGACAAGAAAAAGCAAGAGGATCATTTAAATTGGATTATTTTCTACTCTAACTTGAGAAGTTCTGTTATCCTGTGATCATATTTCAGTGGTAGCCATTTGTGTTTGTGGTGCTTTACTAGAATATTGTACTCAAGAGGACTTTAGTAAGTCCTGCATGAGCAGATCCTTTGCTTTTGCTAAATATAGAAATCTTGGAGCCCATGTAGCCCTACTGAACCATAACATTCTAAGAAATTCAGCTCTCTAGGCTTTTAAGAGCACACAATAGCTGCTGGAAAGCTAGGAAATATCTTGAACAGAAAGTTGTCAGGGTTCATGAATTTTTTTCTGATTAATGATTTATAGTAACATGTTTAGAATCTTGATTCAGTCCTTAGATTTAAGAGTATAAATAGGCCTAGAGATAATTTTTTTTGAGATGCTATTCAAATACTGAGCCAAATGGTCATGGCACTGTGTTGGTAAGGATGTGTGAGGGGGAAATGGAAACTGCTGACACAAGCTGAGGAAGCTATTTTCTTTTTCTAAGCTGTTACAATCTGTCTCTATCAAACCTCATACATGGATGCCAGAGGCTGCAGGTCTTGTGCTGGTTACAAGAAAAAATGTAAACTGCATGATTTCCCTGTGTAGGTAATCACTGAAAGTAGATATTCTGAAGTGAATTGTACTGTCAGATACTGTAATGGAAATACTGCTGTGTCACACAGATTGGGTGAACTTAATATTAAACCACGAGTTGATTTCCTTCTTTTAAACCAAATGCATTTCTTTGGTTATTTGCTGCCGTTGGAGCAAGGCACCCATTCACAAGATTCCTTGTATGGGTTGGAGAGCCTGGTTTACAAGGACACCAAGCCTGGTGGGTATGCATGGTTAGATGCATTTTATACATGCATGATGAACAGGCAGTTGAGGTTGTTAAAAGTCCCTCCTCTCCAAAGCAGCCAAAGGTAGAAGTGAGAAAACAATACTTGTTTGGTGAACATCCACACATTGGTGGTTCTAGAAATAAGATATTAATGAATGTGGATTCAAGTGGAATCTTGAAATGACTTAGGCCCCTTTTTAATTGAGTGGCTGTTTCAGAAGATTAGGAGACCACTTAGATTTCCATCAGTTATGTTGAATGTTATAAAATGCTGACAATATTCTACTATGATTTTACAACACCATCTTTAGCTGCTTGGAGAGTTATTACCCTTAATTAATGTGTCTGGGCTTCAGATTAAGGAAGTCCAGGCTGTTTTGACCAAAATGGACTCTAGCAGGTTGAAGGCATTAGCATACTTTCCCTTGCTTCTCTTTATTTGCATTGCTCTCAAGTTAGGCAAGGAAGCAGCTTCCCTTGATGTTCAGGGGAGTTGTTGGTTTTTTGTACATGCTTTATTTTTAACTTCTGAAACTTGATTTTCAGAAATTTACACTTGGCCAAAGTTTCTTGCTTGAGCTGTTGTCTGAGCACAGGTTTAAAGTGAGCTTAAAAACCTACATTTAGTGTAGGAATGTGCTCAGTTTCTCCATAGTAATGAATGTGGGTGAAGAAGTGGAATATCCTGTTTCCTTAGTTTTATCATACATGGGACTGAAAGCCTGAGACCTGCAAATTCAATAGTAAGTGAAGGAAGCTGTCCTTTTAGAGTAACCTTGATAAAGGATTACTTGTAGTGTTAAAAGGAACTATGCAAAATAAAATGTTTCTATTTGTCTAGTTTTTCCTTTTTATTATTTATGTCGTGACCACCTTACCTGCAAGACAAGTTGAAATTTTGGCAGGCAATTTCCCTCCTTTGTTTGAACTTGCAAATGACATCAAGGTGTTAGGTTAGGTACACTGTTAAACTTGCTTCCTTCTTGCTTTGTGGGATACACCCTTCCCATGCTGCAGCCCCATAAAGATAAGCTCTAGCAGCACTATTGCTGAATTATTTTTGCTGGGATGGCCAGAGGAGGAAAAGAAACAGTGCAACTCACCAAACTGGTTTTCTTCAGAATTGTGGAAAAGTACAAGCATCATTTAAATAATGAAATGGTTGTGATTGTGTGGGTTGTGAAATGTGTGTAAATAATGGAATTTCATTTTGTGTACAGCTTTTAGAATCATCATTTTTGTATGTCTTTTTTGTGGTTACTGGATTTGTTGTTTCAGAACAAATGAGAATCCTATTGAAAAGTGCTCTTTGGGTTTCCACATACATCTATATCTTAACTTGAAAATTATGTCCTTGTGTGGTGGAAGCCTCTTCTAGATGTATATTTAATGCTATGAGAAGTAGCTGATTGTTTGCTTACCACAGCTGCAATTCTTGAAAAGCTTTTAATGTCACCTTCTAAGCCATTATGCTTTAGGACAGGCTAAACCTTCTTCCACATTTTCTCATGCTTTCTTACATTTCTGCTTTACTAACTTGAATTTTATCCTTTTTCCAAAAAATTGCTTGCATTACAAAAGGACGTAAGCGTAAAAAGTACAAAAAGCATTTTAAGAGACCCTTTAGAGGTCGTGATCACTCAAAAGGTGGGTAACAGTTATGACTTTTAACTTTTAAGGCTTCTTTTTGCTTTCTGTTTGGATTAATTTTTAACAGCCTTGGCTGTCCATGCAGTGAGAGCTTTTTCCTCCTGTTTGAAAGAGAGGTTATAAATTGGAGAGAGCTCTTTCTGCTGTTCATGTTCTCTGGATGCAGTGAGGCTGAAGAGAGTCCTTGTTTCTCTTTACCTGTGCTTGTTCCTTTAATTTGAGCTCTCTGTAGTATTTGCTGCAGAACTGTAAACTAGTGGCATTTCACAGTGACTGTTGGAAAAACTGCTTGTGCAAGTTCCATCTGTTTGTCTGATTTTTGTAAGGTTCCACTAATAGGTAAAGAAAACCTGAAACTGGTGCTATAGCAGTAAACAGTCTTTTAGATAAGGGCTTCTGCCTTTTTTTTTTTTAGTCAGTTAATTGGAGGAAATGTGTGTGGCATATAAAAGTGATACAATGTTTCTGTTTTTTCTGAGTTCCTGACTGATTTTTTTGATTGAAATCTAATGCTCTCTTGACTGAAACTGTTATATCATGCTCAATAGTGAAGTCTTCATTTTTAAGCAGATTTCCTGAACCTCTGAAAGCTTTTCAAAAAAATTCTCATTTTTTAAGCAGGATGTACAAAGTTAGATACCTGCTTTGCTCACCATGCATTGCATAGGTAAAAAGTTAGAAACAGTTCAAGTAAGCTGAGTGAAAACCTCTAGTCCTTATTTTTCTTTATAGCCATGACTATTTCTTCAACTTGAGCCATCTGTAGCATTTCCAGCAAAAATGTATGAGCTTGGTAGGCTGATCAGTGGCATTTGCTGGAATTGCCATGTTGTAGGGAGGGTGCTGAACACAGCAGTGCAGGCTGTGAAGGCAGCTGGAGGAAAAGCAGCTCACTGATCCAGCCACACTTCAGGTGAAATGCTGAAACACAGCCTGAGATGGTAGAGCCATATCACTAGAGTGAAATCATGAGGGATTGTAAATATTACTCCTTGCATGTGTTATTCAAGGGTATTTTATGTTAAATTACTCTGCCTTAGTCATTTGCTTCTTGAAACCCCTCACTGAGGTACTTTTAAGAGAGAACCTTTTACCTTAGAAGGAGTATATGAATCCAGAACTTGCTGTGTGCCAGACTGTTTTGGCTGAAATTTAGACATGTATTTTCTTGTGGTTATGTTGTGCATGGGCAGCTAATATCACATCTTCAGAATACAGATGTGCAGAAAAGGAAAAAATAAAAATATGCGATCTAAATAAGTGAAAACTGCAATGTTAATTTAGAGAAAATGCTACATTTACATTGATGTAGTTGTTGGTGTAATGAAATTCAAGATGCAATTATTACACTAAATAATGACTTTTTAAAAATTCTTGTTCTAGACAAACCAAAGGAAGAGAAGAAGGATACTTTCTTAGAAAAGCTTGCAACTCAAGTTATAAAAAATGTACAAGTCAAAATCACAGGCATTCATGTTAAATACGAAGATGATGTAAGTAACTGGGACATATTTTAAATTGGACTTCAATGCAGTTCTGATTCTCTTGTCCATAGAGCAGCTGTATTTGCCACCTTGAAAAAGTTGCTGTGGTCTCTTCTGCCCTTCTTCAAATAAGTTGCCCCAGATATGAGTGAATGCCAGAAATATGGATATGGGAACAGATGTTCTCTTTGCCTTTGTGCAGTGCTGCCCTGCTCACTGAACATGGGCAGTGTCTGCTCTCACACATTGCTGCATGCAGGGGTGCACAGAGCTCCTCAGTGGCCTGGGCAGAAGCTGAAGGGTTTACAGATGGATCTCAAGACAAACTGTTAAAAACACTTAACTGAGAAACAAGAATGTTTGTTTATATGAACCAAACTGGAATTACTAGTTTTACCTTCCTGTAGTAAAATGATTAAGTGGTTTGTTATGAAGCAATTGACTTTAAAAGAAAAGCACTGGATAAGAGGGTATTTCTCAAACCTTTCTTTGGGACTGTTTTCTGAGACACCAAAGTTAAAGAAGTGCATATCATAAAGTGATATGTCTGACTGAGATGTGGTACTCTAATTTTAATTTTTTTTTCCTGTATGATGATGTTAGAATCCAAAAGAAAATTTTCAGTTTGAAGTCCTAAGTCTTTACACTACAGCCATATTAATTTTGGCCTATCTTAGTGGGTTCCAGTAATGTTTCAGTTAGATTTACTAAGCAAATTAAGTGGCTCAGAACAGTTCAGGATTTCAGTCAACTTTAAAGGCTACATTTGTGTGCAGCAAGAGGAATAAATACCTTTTATTTTTCTGTTTTTGTAGATCACAGACCCACAGTGCCCGATTTCCTTGGGAATGACGCTGGGGGAGCTGAGTTTACTGGTAATGTGTGTGTGACTGCCTGTTCTTGTGTGTTTGCTTGTTTTGGAGCAGCAGAAAGGAAAAGAAACATAGTAAGGAGATAGAGGGACAGTGTGCATACAGCTGGAACTGAAAAGACAATCTTTAATTCATGCAGATAGACTGGCAGTTTGAGCAAGCAGAAGGGAAGAGGGTTGAGGAACATAGCACTTTCTGAGACTTGGTGATTTGTTCCAGTGATCTGAGTGACCTTTGAGACTGGGCAGGTTATATCCAGGCATAGTAAATGAGGGCAAACATTGCATCATGGTGATCAAGAGTTTGGTGTTTTGCCAGGAATTTTGAGAAATGGGAAGTGAAAATTTCAGCTAACTTCTCTTTGCCTTAGCTGTTAAGCATTTTATGGGTAGGATGAGGAGTTGAATATCAAAGGATGAAAGTAAACTGACAGATTTTTGTATGTATCTTGATGTGTGTGTATGCAGAAAAACTGGATGCATTTGTTGCTTGGAAGCATAGGATAAACCCACAAATATGTTAGCTAAGATGCACAAAATTGCTTTTATCACTTTGAACTTTTAGACAACAAACGAGAACTGGACACCTTCCATTCTGAATGAAGCTGCAAAAATAATATACAAGGTAATGTATTGTGGTTTTTTCTAACACAAGTGAAGAAAGCAGCTGATCTTGAAGACTAGTAAACCTGGGGCTCTAAATGAAGTTGAAAAATAGTTTACTTTTTGAATTCTCCTGTTTTTCTTTATTTTTGATGTAGTTTAAGCACAAGTAGAACACAAGTAACTGTTTTTATGTAAGGCATAAAAAGGCATTATCTTAAATGTGAATGCTGATCCCCTTGTTCAATGCACTATACAGCAAGCCTGCGTGGAAACCAATTTCAAACAGGTTGTCTAATTACCATTTCCTAATCTAATTTGTATTCCTGGTGTAATTGGGATTTTGGGAGCTGAGCAGTTTCTCTGTTCTCCCTGCGCACCCCTGAAGCACCCCCAAGGCTGTGCAGAGAGGAGTACACAGAGATCTAAGGAAATATAGGAACAATCTAAGAAGGGTTTAATAGTCTTGGCATCTTCAATAGGCCAAGTACCAGTTTTGTGCACCCTTGCCCTTGTAATCCAGGGTCACGTTTAACAGATGTGCATGAATGTGTGCTTAAAGAACTTGCAATTCAATTATCATTTCAAAATAATAGTGTCAGATTAAATACATCTCAATCCTAATGGTTCATTTGCTGTCTCATCTGCTTTTATATGTTTTCTGTTTTCACAAATGGAAAGCTATATTTGTAGGATGGGTTGAATACAGAGAATGCAGTTTGTTGCATGTTTTCTTTCCTGTGCAGCTTTTGTGCCTGGACAGCCTCAGTGCTTATTGGAACATAAACAGCAAAATGTATTATCATGGCTCCCGTGAACAAATACTGGTAATGTAGAAGAAAATGCATTAATTACTATATTGTCTGGATCTTGTAGTATTCAAAACTACACCACACTGATTTCTACCCCACTCCTCACACTTATGGTCACTGTATTCAGGGTCATTTGTTAATCCATTGCACTATTGTTAATAATTTTGTGAACCTCATTTGTTATCAACCCCTATAGGGTGATATATTTTTCACCATTGTGTTTATAAAGGTGCTCTATATGTCCTTGTACAGTACTACTACTTACCCTTTTTCTTTTGTGTTCATCTTAATGGATACCTTTGTTTTTGTTTTATTTTGTCCTTAACAAATAATGTACTTACCCAAGTTAATGTATTAACTTGGTTCTAACATCAAAGATGGAATCAAAACTGTGCAGTGCTTAAAACCATCCAGCTGTCTAAGAACAGCCAAGTTCATTTGGCATTGCCTGTCTGTGGATGTTTCCTTTTTTTCCTCTGAATCTCAGTCTGAAGTGAAAACACAAATTCATACACAGCTGCAAAAATCTGCAAAATCCATGTGAACTTAAGTTGGTCTGCTCAAAGTTTTGAGAACTCTAAACAAGTAATGCTCTTTAGCAATTGTTAGACAGAATCGTATCCCTTTACAGGACCAGCTGAAAAAAGGAATTCCCTGTCATGGTCACCAGCCTGAAGACTACCAGTACAGTAAGTGAGCTAGGAATGAGTGAATCCAAACTGTTCTGAGCATGTTGGTGTTCAACAGCCTGATCTGATCTGCAGGAATGGCCATACTATCTTCCTTTTAGAAAAAACATAATGTGATAGAACATGTTAGGGCTTGTAGGCTTTTTGAATAATGCAGGATTATCTTAATTGTCATTGGTAAGAATTGCATCCTGATTCTGTGGGGCTTGAGCATGTTATCTGTTGATGTGCTTGATCTGTTCCTTGTTATATTTAAGTAAAAAATCCATCTCATTTTTTTTTTAATCTTCAAGTTTTCAGACCAGTGTCAGCCTCTGCAAGACTCTATATCAACCCATATGCAGAAGTAGAACTGAAAACTCCTAAGATTGATTGCAATGTAGAAGTGCAGAGAATTGTCATTGAATTCACTAAGCCACAGGCAAGTTGGTTTGGTATTTATCACCCATTTCAGTTTGTGATGAACTGTAGTGTTTTTTTTCCTGAAAAACAATCTCATTAGGGATTTGTGTGCTTATATGCCTGTGGGATTTCTAAACTGTTTAGCAGTACCTGTGGGAGAAGTGTAGGATCTTTTCCCCTTTGTGTAACCATCACTTCTTGGTGATTCTTGTACTCTGACACTCTTACCTGTGGACCCACCTGATCTATATTCAGCCCTTCCAGCAGCATTCTTTTCACCTAGAGAATGCAATCATGAGTAGCTCTTATCTTATTAAATTATTATCCAGTGTTAGAACTGCAGAGATGCCAAAGTACAAGCAAAGGTGGGAATGAATGGAGTGTGCTGGCTTTGGCAACAAAGCCTGCTGAAGTATCAAGGAAGTAATTTAGATGGCTCCCAGAAATTTTGTGTTCTCATTTATTGAGAGATAACTTGGAATTTGTTGGCTAAAGAGCTTTTTAGCTCTTACTGATGTCTAAATGTATATATATATAGAGTTCAGAACTGTACCAGTAAGGTGCACCAATGTAAATGCAGCTCTAAAATGAGGGCAGCTGCATTGAAAACAGAAAAGTTGGTTTGAGAAAGCCTGGGAGGTTGTGCTGAGCAGGCTGGTAAAACTACAAACTGTTGTTCTTGGAGGGAAGCAGGGCCTCAAAGTGGTGTTCTTTGAGAAGAGTGGGTGCAGTCAGTCCACATTCAGGTACTAATGAAAATAAATTGACTTAAATTTCTGTGTAGTTTGAGGAATGTGAAGGCCATGCAGTGCCTGCAAACAAAACCTGAGCCTTGCTAAGAAAGTTTTTCTGTGTTTAGTACCTCAGCATGATAGACCTGCTGGAGTCCATAGATTACATGGTTCGCAATGCACCCTACAGAAGATTTAGGCCAAATGTGCCTCTCCATAAAAATGCCAAGGAATGGTAAGCTGTGTACATTCATGCATTCTCTGGCAGTCTTCTCCAGTCTCTTCATTCTCCTTTGTGATTAAAAGTACTTTTAAAACTACTCACATGCTGATATAACTTCCACAGAAAATCTCACTTGCTAAGCTGAAGTCCCCAAAATTTGAACAAAATGCCAATGCTCTCACTAGAGGTTAAAATGTAATTTTAGAAAGGCTAAAGAAAAACTTGGCAAGGGTTATACAAGGGAAGTGTGTGTTAGCTGTAGATTTGAACTGATATGCTTTTTGTTGGCTTTTTTCAAAGTACTAACTGATGCTGATTATCAAAGTGCTTAAGTGCACTTAGTGCTGTAACAGCCCAAATTTGCAAATGTGCAGAAGTCAATAATGAAGGTTTGTGGCTCTTCACTCATTAAATGTAAGCCCTCTGTCCCTTTATCAAAAGTGATGTTGAGAACATTGAAATTTTTATAAGCCAAATTACTCAAATCACAAATGGTCAGCAAAGTGTTTGCATACTAATAAACTGCCTCTGCAACCTGTGAGTTGTGATGCACAAATGAAATGGGAAGTTGTTCACAAAGATGGAATTATTATAGGTGGAAATATGCAGGTACCAGTGTTCTGGAAGTTCACATCAGAAGGCGTACTCGAATGTGGTCGTGGAGTAACATCAAACAGCACAGGCAGCTTCTGAAGAGTTACAAAAATGTGTACAAGAACAAGCTCACACAGAGCAAACTGTCAGAAGAAACACAGAAGCAAATCCAGGTATGAGTCTGCTTTCTTTGGAGGAATTATATTTTAGTCCCTCTGTGAAATAATTCTTTAGATATAACTGAGAGTAATCCAGGTTGATGGTTTTACAAGAACACAAGAGGTCTGTGAAAATACCTTCTTAATCTGAACTTCTGTGTAACCTATTGTGGAAAACAAAATAAAATACTAGTAAAGTGTCACTAAGAACAATCTGTCTTTGGTTGAGGATTAGTGAGCATGGATACTTTTAATGTAGAGCAAGAGTAATTTAGCTAAGAAAAAAACCAGACTGCCTAACATTGATTTTAACTTCTAGTGACCTTTGCAGCTGGGGGTGGGATATACCTGTGGTAGAAATGAGCAGAGCTAGAAATCAATTGGAATGTAAATATGAAGGAGCTGATAGAAAATTTATAGTGGAGAGCTTTTCCTAAATGTGTTTTATCAGCAAATAATTTGATAATGCATTTTTGTAGGACCTGGAAAGAAAACTTGATGTCTTCAATACAATCTTAGCAAGACAACAAGCACAAGTTGAGGTAAGGAGTCATTTCTGTTCAGTAATTTTGTAGCACTTCAGATAGGATGGTTTTGTCATGATAGTATTTTTAAAAAAATTGTGCTGGTGTGTATGATAGCATAGGTAGGTTGGAAGACCAGTTTCCTATCTTTCCAGGACATGAGTAAAGTGATTTCTAAGCTGGAAACCCGTTCAAAAACAAGTTCAAAAGTTTTAAATGATACAGGATTGATCCTCAGGTTTGTTACTTCTAGGTTAAGAAATCTTCTAGATTTAGGAATGTAAATGCTTTCTGTACTCTCTTAAATACTGTCTTTTTGTATGGTTCCTACCTTTCTGTAGTCTAAATGCTGGTGAAATGTGTAGAAAAACCTGTCCAGAGTAAAAACAAGGCATGTTTGTGTCTGTGCATGCACAAATACACAGAGACATGTCCCTCACCCTGGTCCTCTTTTTGGCTCTGTCTGGTGAGTCAGAGGGCTCTGAATTCCTTGTGGTGTGCTGTTGCTGTCCCTCAGTTAAATGCATGTTCAACATGCACACATACATGGATTATTTACAGAAAAATAGTAATACAATAATTTATGTATTTTGTCCAATTTGTTTTAATTTTTGGTTTGTAGACAATAAGATCAGGACAAAAGCTACTGAAGAAGAAGAGCGCTGAAGCAGAAAAGAAAAGTGGAGGATGGTTTAGTGGTTTTTGGGGTAAAAGAGAATCTAAGATTAAAGAAGATGAAGAACCACTCGTGCCTGAAAGTAAGTGTAGATTGTAGTGCACTAGAGAGATTTTACATCTTATACATTAAAAAGAATACAGTATTTTTGCTTCCTACTATGCAGGAGAGAGTATGGCATAAGCAGTGCATTTCTTGGCACCTCTTACTGAATATTGAGCTGGCAATTAAGGCATTCTTCTAAATTTGCCATAAGCTTTTCAGAACCTTGGTGAGGAGAAAAATGTCTCACAGCTATAGTGATAATAGGCAACAATTGGAATACTCTGTTTCTGGTGATTTGCTGTCTGGAGCCAAAGTTTGATCTACTAAATTTCCTGAAGTCTATTTTCATCATGAGGGGCTATGGATCCTTTTGTAATAAAAATTAAATTGATTTCTGTGCTCCATCTGTACCACCATACATGAAGACTGTTTGAATTATTTTGCAATCTGGAATTTAGTTCAGTATGAAGAATCAATGGAATGCATCACCACAGCTGAAGTAGTGGGAGGCAAATGTGAACACAAGGGGTAATTGTTATTTACTAAGGTGCAAATTGTGTGGGTTTTTGGTTTTTAGCTCTTGATGAACTAATGACACCAGAGGAGAAAGCTAAACTTTATACTGCTATTGGATATAGTGACAGCTCCCATCACCTTTCATTACCAAAGCAGGTAAGCAGCCTAAGGGATGATTTAAAAAAAACAAAAAACACACAACAAATTCAAGATGCCTCTAGCTCTCTCATTACCCTGCAGAAATGTGAAGGCTTCAAATTCAGGTAGGAAATATTATTTAATCCTTCTGAAGCTGCTGATTTATGTAGTATTAAAGTGGTACATATGTTGAGAAGTCAGAACCCTCTCTTGGGAAGGCCAAGATTTGACATTTAGCAGTGAGAACAATAAAGGCATACGAGCTGTGCCTTCTGAAATGTAGTTATTTAATGAAATTACAGTGATTTTGGTTGATGTACTGAGTCCTCTACTGAGTGTAGTTTAGCTATGCTTGCTTCAGGGTTTAAAAAAATTTCCTTAATGCTGAAAAGAGTGAAACTATATTTGCTCTGCCTTAGTTGAACTACACTGTTTTATGTTAAAGAAATGACTGGTAAACATTGAATCAAGTAAAGAATCTGTACTTTGCTTTCTGCATAGAGATGAGTTTCTAATCTTAGTTGACTGGAAAAACTTAGACACATTTTAGTTTGTTAAAATGAGGAATTCTGATTTTTTTTTCTTATTGAGATGATTAATTTCAGTTTTCTCCATTTTTCTCACTAGTATGTTGCCCATGTTGTGACACTGAAGCTGTTAAGCACTTCTCTTACAATTAAAGAAGACAAGAATGTGGCAGAAACTCTAAAAGTGCAGATGATTGATCTGAGCACCAAAATATCCCAGCGCCCAGGAGCACAAGCCATTAAGTAATTGGATTGGTATTTTCTTTTTGTGGAACCATCTCTGCCCCTCCTCACCCCACTCCCCAGCTTCTTAACTTTTCTTGGGTAGTGCTTGTTGTACCTTGCCTTGTACATTTGTTTGCATTCTGTAATTGTGCTCTGTTGTAAATAATTTAATTTGGTGAATAACATAGAATGGCAGGAAGAAGGGAATGCTGTCTGCTGGTTTTCATGAACAATGGCAACCTTGTTCTTCAGTATAAGTGTTGAAATGCTGAATATGACTTTTGGGAAGTGATAGCTAAGCCATGGGAAATGGTGTGGCCAACACACTCCAGCCAAGCTAGTGAATGTGTTACTCACTGCCTAAGAAATGAAAAATTGTGTGTTTGTGCTGTAGGTGGAAAATCAGCCTGAGCATAAGATACTGAGACCTTCCTGTGTTTTAGGAGAGGGCACAACAGAAATATTGGATTATTGGATTACACAGTCAGTGAATAAGATTGCCATGTCTGGAAAATGAATCTGTGCACTTTTTGCTTTCATTTGCAGTTCCTTCAGTTCAGGCTTCATACATAAGATCATCAGCTCAGCCACTGACACTTGAAATATTTTTGCTGAAAACCATTCTGGGGAATTTTCAAGGTGTAGCTTGAATGCTGCACAGAAACAAAGAGCTTTGACATTATTTTACATAAATACATGCCATAAAATTTAGTTGTCAAGAATGAAGCAGTAGAACAGATAGTCTTGTAAGTTTTATGTTTCTGAAAAAAATGTAGTTCAGTTATCTCAACAGAGCCAGGCAGATGACACTGATTATGGCCAAATATGTTGCCTCCCAAAGTCAGGGATTTTAATGGTGGAGGTGCAGGACCTGAAAATCAGTTTTTGATGTAAAAAGTACTTCTAAGGATGAGTGAAGCTGGTGTGGTTTGGTGGTGTTCAATGGCTTTCTTCAAAAGTGTTTTCCTACAGGCTCCACTTAACACTGCTGTCAGGGCAGTTCTCAGTGCAGAATTCCCATTTGCACCAAAAGAGGTCTGTGACTGCTTTTTACATCCATACACACTCGTAAACATTCCTACACTTTTTATTGATGTAACAAATATTCTGCCTTTCTTTTCTCTTGCAACTGATTCTAACCTTTGCCCAATTAAATATTTTTAACTATTCATTTTCTTTAGGGTTGAAGCAAAGCTTGAAAACTGGTATGTGACGGGCCTGAGACAAGAAAACATTGTGCCATCTCTTGTGGCTTCCATAGGGGATAGCAAATCTTCTCTGCTTAAAATTGAGTTTGATATTAACCCAGAGGACAGCACAGCTGACCAGAGCCTTACTATTGAATCACAGCCTGTGGAAGTAAAATATGATGCAGTGAGTAGTAACCAAAACTCTCAGGTGTGCCTGGGTCCTCTATCTCTGCTTTTACTCTCTTGGCTTTGTCCAGATCTGATTTGGAGTTTTTGTTGTGTAATGCTATATAATGCTAATTCTTGTCTTTTTTTTTTTTAAGAGAACAATAAATGCAATGGTAGAATTCTTTCAGACAAGTAAGGGAATGGATCTTGAAAGATTAACAACAGCCACCTTAATGAAACTGGAGGAAATCAAGGAGAGAACTGCTACAGGTAAGATTGTAACAAATCTCAGTGAAGGCAAACCCTTAAATTGTTTCCATTGATTACCCAAACACTTGGCTTCTGTTCTGATTGGTGACCAAATGGTAGGATTGGGATTTTTCCTTGATTTGCTGCCCACATTTCAGCAGGGATGCAGTTAATTACTTCTCACTTCATTGCTTGGAGATTTAGGGAATGTTTTGTGGGAAGGAGCATGGAGTTTAGTAAGAAATCAGTAGAATACTATGCAAGTCTTGATTCAAGAGGCTTTATCTTTCAGATAAGATATTTTTCTATGCTGACTGTCACAGTTGTTTCACTTGTGAATAGCATTGACATTTCCATGGCCTTTCCTTTTCCTTTAAGGATTAGCTCACATTATTGAAATGAGGAAAGTCCTTGACTTGAGGATTAATCTGAAACCTTCCTACCTGGTGGTTCCACGGACTGGTTTCTACCATGAAAATTCAGATTTGCTGATTCTGGACTTTGGTACATTTCAGGTATAGAAATGATGTCTCTTATAACCTCAGGGGAAGCAAATATTCTCTTTTAACATAGCTGTCATCTGGAAGCATCTTCCTTTCAGAAGGCAGGGTGATCATCTGTGTCAACATATTTTAAACTTATATTTCTGACCAAATAGATTGGGGTCAGCAGTTTGATCAGAGCTGTTAGGGTATCTCTGATGTACTTGTACCAGTTAACCCTCCCCAGGAAACATGATCATGTTTCAATCATAATTGTAATAACCTTATCATTTAGTATCATTCATTTCTTCAGCAGAATGCATGAACTTTTGTTTCCTTTTTTGTAAAATTACAGCCTTTTATTAATAAAAGAGAAGATAATTTTTCTCTTGAAGTTTGAAAATTAATTGTTTCTCTAAAATGGAAAGATTGCAGTCATTTAACTTCATTTAATGACTGATTTATTTTAGTTGTATTCTCTAAATAAAATTATAGTGAAAAAAAGATTTTGAAGAGCTTGAATTAAGTGGATTGATAGAAGTAACAACAAAAAAAAATCTACTTAGCAAGAATAAGTGAAGTGATTTAATCTTTCTCTGTAAGAGTCCAAATGTCAATTATTAACCCCTATAAATCATCTTTTCATCTTCACTAGAATGAATAGCACATGTCTGTTTTAAAGACTTAACTTATTTTGTTTTTTGTGTGTTTAGCTGAACAGCATAAATCAAGGCAGTAGTGAAGCTTCCAACTTTTCATCTTTAGAGGAGATTATGGACAAAGCTTATGACAAATTTGATGTGAAAATTAAAAACGTGCAACTTCTTTTTGGGAGAAGAGGTAACAAAACCACATAGCTGCTGTTTATGCAAAAGATTGTCAAAAGCTACCTACCTGTAATAAATAAATATGTTTTTTAAAGAAAAAAAGACAAACTAAAATCAGTAGTTAATGAAAAGATGGGTTATAATACATGTTGGGTGCCAAACTTTGAAAACATTGGAAGGTTTCTGCTCCTTTTTTCTTTGGATCTGTGCATCACTTCAATGGTAGCAATGAATGTAAATAAAAAGAACTATTATATTTTCCATCATACACAGGAAAACACAGCTAAAATTTGCCTTAGTTCTTCACTTAAATTTATGTAATCAACAGACTGCTAGGTTGCTGTTCTATCTTTTATCTGTCTGTCCATTTGTTTTCTAGGGGTCAATGTAGATACATTTTTAGTGTAGAATTGGGTTTAATGCTGCTGAGGCAGTAGTGTTCACAAATGGGATTAAAAGCTCTTAAAATACTTCACCTAAGTTGTTTTAGGTTTCTTAAGTTGGCTTTTTTACCCTCCTAGTGGTACCATTTGATTACTTTATGATGCCTTAATTAAAGCAATTAGCAAGTGATTTTTTTTTTAATCTAAATTTCCCGGACATTTTCAGGTGAAGACTGGAAGAAGGCTCGTTTTCAACACCCATCAACTTTGCACATTTTGCAGCCTATGGATATCCATGTACAGTTGGCAAAATCAATGGTGGAAAGAGATTCCAGGATGGCAAAGTAATGTATTAATGCTGAAAAGACTCATTTAGAATTACTTTGTACTTAGAAAATTGTTTTCCCTAAAGGTTCATTTGCACTTTCTAATTTGAAGATATTAACTAAGAAACTGAAATAAGTTACTACAGTTGGCAAAATCTTTTTGGGTAGTGATTCTCTGAAGCTTTTGCTGGTTGCTAACTACTGCTTGTGTCCAAGCTCTGTTTTAATGCAGAATCCCTGGCTTTACTGTGATCTCTATAGAGGAGTATCCATATTGTTAAGATTTAAATGAAGAATTGGTACCTTTTGTGTAGGAGTTTAATCAGTTGGTTTTTTTAAAAAAGGTTTAAAGTGTCAGGAGGACTTCCTTTGGTGCATGTCAGACTCTCTGACCAGAAAATCAAGGCAATCTCTGATCTGATTGATAGCATTCCACTGCCTCAGAAGTCATCTGTGTCAGTTCCAAGCACAAAGGTAAGCTGACTACAATTAAAAAACTTAAAAAAACCCCAAACAAGTGAAAAAACATCATTAGTGTCTTTATTCACTTACCATCAGAACATTCTGGGCTTCCTCAAGCAATACTGCAGCCTTTGTTATTGTTCTGCTGGTTTCAATGTAAGTATTGGCAGAGCTGACCTTGCCAAAGAATGTGAGGAAAACCCTGTGGAACATTCATCATCACTAGAAAATATGATCATACCAAGTTATATAAACTTGAAAATGCTGTGTTGGTTATTTTGCTCTTTTCTTTCCCTCCAGGTACCAGCTATTCCCACAATTCCTGTTGTTGGCAAAGGGCTGCTTAGCACACCCCAGCTGTTAGCAGAAATGGTGTCAGGTAAGAAGCTGCAGATGGGTCTTTGTAAAGGTAGCAGCCATAACTTAGGGGACAGCTGATATTTTAGCTATTAATATAATAATGATATTATAGCTGTTATTATTATAGCTGTTATTGATGTTAAACATGTCAGGATAACAGAGATGAGCAGGGTGGGTAACATCTACCCTCAAACACATGAGGAGATTTGATTAAGGTGCTGGTGTTGCCTCAGATGAATAAACTTGCTTTTTCTAAAAAGCAAACCCACTTCTTAAAAAAAGTCAATATTCTGCATAAGCAACCTCTTCAAATGAGTGAACTGTAATTACTGTCTGTATTAGGCTGTTCTGACTGTTTTGCATTAGCAAAGCTCTCCTTTTTCTGTAAAGGCAGAACTAGAACAACACATTACTGAGAAATTACTGTTTTGGTTCTGGATTTGAGCATTTATTTTCATGGCTGTTCTAGAGAAAAATTTCCTATGGTGGAACCTGGACACTTATTTCCTGGAGTTTCTCCTATTATTAAGTGTTCTTGAAAGTCCAGTGATGCCTTCAGACTCTAGTGCTGTCATTAATAGGGCTTTCATTTTGTTCATGTCTCATTCAGTGGGAAAGACAGCAGTATAAGTCTAAAGTTTATTTTATCAAGCTACATTTGAAGTGATCATGCTGTTAAAAATGCAATTGGAATGGGAAAGAGAGAGTGGGATATTTAGCCCTGTTTCTGGAAAAGGTTTATTTACAAAGTAATTTTGCTTCTGTAGACTCTGAAGAAGAATATTTTGATTTTGAGGAAAGCTCTGAACCAATTGACAGTTCAGTAATTAAAGGAGAAGAAATAAGAAAAGAGGAGCCTGCTCAGGAGGAACTGACAGATCTTCACCTCAAGTTTGAAATTAAAGAAGTATGTCTCTAATTCTGTTTTCCCCTGCCTAAAGAATACTTAAAAAAATCCCAATATTCCTTTACCAGTATTCTCCAGATTAGTGGATGCAGAAACATAATCACCAAACAAAAAACCCTTCATGTATACACACATATTTCTATGCATATGAGATATTTCTTGTCTGTATGGGATGCATGTAAATAAAGCATGATGCATACACACAGATGTATTTAAAGAAAAAAAGAAAAAAGTTCCTTATTGGAGTATTTTTACTAGAAAAAATTAATACCAACTCATAATTAGGGGGTCAGAAATGGGAATTTTGCACTGGAGAAACAAATTCAGTCCCAGGCAGGTCTCTTGCAAAGAGAAAATCCCCAAATATTTTTGTATTTATATCTTTCACCATCAATCACTTCCCCTTTCTATTATATACTCTAAAATCTGTAATAAAAACTGCTTCTGCCAAACAGGGAGGGCAGTAATCTTGCACTTTTGTTGCTGGTTTGAATGGTGAGAATGCTGCATGTGAGAAGATGGCATAACTGCATTTCTTGTTCCTCCAGGTTTTAGTAGAGCTCACCAGACAAAAGACAATTGAGGAAACAGTGCTTGTATTTGATGTAATGCATCTTGGGACAGAAGCCACTGTCAAAACCTACAATTTAGCAGCTGTATCTTATTTGAAGAAAATAAGCTTGGATTACTATGGAACTGGAGGTAATAAGCAGGGGCAGAGAATGGATTGTGTGTGTGTAGCAATTAGCTGGGGCTCTCCTGTGCCTCGTGCTCTCTGAAATGCAAATGTTGTTCCAGTTTCCCTGCTCATGTGCAGCTGTCCATGGCAGTGCTTGTGCCACTGATAGAGTTGGTGAGCTCTGGAATCTCACCAGAATGCTTATGGATAAATAAATGGCTCAGAGCTCAGTCTTTGGGTGGAGAAGGGATTTGCCATTTTGGATTTAGCAAAGAGAAACCAGTGACTCATATTTGGCGGTGCAATATATTTTAGCAAATGGTACTGAAAGTTAATCCCTACCTTCAAGGCACCAATTTTTTGGTTCTCTGAAAGAACAGAAATGATCCTTATTTCTAATTTATCTTATTTATCTCATGTGGTGTTTCACAGGTAAAAAAGGACCCATTCATCTAATTAGTTCCTCAGACAAGCCTGGCTTAGACCTGCTGAAAGTGGAATATGTCAAGGTATACACAAAGCTTTGTAAATTATTTTCAAAGCATTTCTGCATGTTCTTAATAGATAGTCTGTATATAGTCCTGTAGCTACTATTCAGAGCTACTTGGATTATTTTGTACCTTCTGAAGAGAACAGTGACTGGTTGAAATTAATATTAAATATCATGCAAATCATTATTTTCAGGCTGACAGAAATGGGCCACAGTTTCAGACAGTTTTTAACAACACTGAACAGATGATTCAGGTGAGTATTTACAGATTTTATTGCTTATTTTCTTTTGGTTTGCTTGCTCAGAATGGAGGAATTAATAAGAGTTGTTTTGCTTTCCTGTTTTCCTGCATTCCAGCAGGAAATTGAAAATTTTGATACCACTTTAGAGCAGAAAGTTTGTCTGTTGAAGTGCTGAAAAAGTGTCTGTGTAGCTCATGTGGATACAATTCAAAGTACTGTAAGAATGCAGCTCCTCATGCATCAGGGATCATGGCATTGAGGGGCCCAGTGTGGGAAACCACAGTGGAGTCACAAAGCCTTTCACTTTCATGTCAAATAATCTGTGTTGTGAGTGCCAGGTACTCAGCACTCTGCTGGCTGTGTTTTATAAGGAGTCTAAATCCATGTCTGACTGTGATTTTTTTATTTTACTGATGGTGTCTTTCTGAGTCAGATTTTAGTCTAAAGAAAAAGAATGACTTGAGGCATTCTTGAAATAGATGATCTTGAAAGGATGGTGTTTTTTGGATAGGTTATTTCTCCTCTTTATACCTTTATGGCATTATTTTACCTGCCTTATTTTAGTATGAAGACTGAAATATTTCACTTGTTATGTAATAGTTTTAAAGTGTCTATAGATTTCATCTGAGATCTTTAATTATTGAAATCTTTTTGCCAAAAAGCAGCTCCTGAAGCTGCAGCAGGAGATGAGAGTTCTAATACTCCAGTGCTGCTGAGTTACCTGTCTTCATACTATGGGCTAGCATCAAGATAACTGAATTTTCTGTACACCACCTGGAGTTGCTGCTGCCTTGCAGCTCTTCAGGGGCACTTGTGTGCCTGGGAGAATTGCATTTGGGCTCTGTTTTCAGTTTCAAACCCATTCAAGTGGACAACCTTTATTACACTACACAGCAGGCACTTACTTACCTTTTAGACTTCTTAGTGGATTTTTTGAGGAAGACCCATATTCTAAATATCCACATGTCAGCCACCTGCTGTAGTACTGTTATTGCAGGAGCATTCAAGGCCAAGGCTGTGTTTGACAAAATTAATTTTGCATCACTTTTTTTTTGTATGTAGAGGTTGTAGATTAGCAGTTACAGCTGTAAGAGCTGGGTTCCCTTATTTTCTGAGCTTATCCCCATTCTGCTTTACAGAAAGCTTTTTCCTTTAGGATCTGTTGCTGGCCACACAAGGAGCTTCTCTGTTTTTAAGGGAGGTTCTGTTGCACTGGGTGCTTTTGCACCTCAGTCTGACTCTGACACCTTTAAATCACTGTTACTGTAATGTTTTCTACAGGTGACTTTTTCATCACTGAACCTCCTGCTGCACACAGAGGCCCTTATGTCTGCTGTCAGTTTTCTAACAGCTGTTAGTCCATCAGGCACTGAAAGAACTGGAGAGACACCAGCCAAAGAAAAAAAGCAAGAGGATGACTCGAGATTGAAGAAAGGTACAGTTGTGATGATCCAAATGATGGTTCTGGAAGGATGTGTTGCATACTGGTAAAGCAAATCCAGAGAAACATGATTAGCTTTGTAGAAATAATGCTGAAAGTGAAAATATGAGTTCTAGGTGCCTTGAAAATCCCACCTTCTTTTATTTCTAGTGTCTAAACCTTCCAAGGATAAGGATGTGTTTGACTTCAAGCTTTTTGCCAAGCTGGATGCCTTCTGTTTAAATATTTGTGATGAAAAAAAGAACATTGCAGAGATCAAGATACAAGGTATTACATTCTTTATTAGAAGTTAACTGTTCTGGTAATTTAGTTTCAAAGCAATTGCTAGTCATTGGGCTAAAAAATAAGGTGTAAATATGAAGCATCTGTTTTGATTTATTTGTTTATTTATTGTTATCTGTGCAAGAATGGCTTGTTGGCCTGTTTTTAAAGTCAGCCTTCAAGTCTGTCGTTATGTTTTGGCCTCCAGCTAGAAAGATGTGCTGTGTTATTACTTAAATTATTAGGATAATTCTTTGAAGGAGTTTGATTATGGATGGCTTTTCATGTTGCACTAAGTGTTTTTCATGTAGTAATAAGATTTTTTGTGGTATGCTTTAAGGTATACCCCAAAATATCTTAGTACTACATGAAAAACATTTATTTTTATTTATTTATATTCCTATTTATTTAGGATAAATAATTATGTAGGATAAGAAAACTCTTTAAAATGTTTTCTTTAGTTTTTAACCCTAGGGGTTTGTTTGGGTTCCTTGTTTTGGCTTTGTTTTCTTGATTGGTTTTACCCCTTGGAAGGGCTGGCAATAATTCTTTGGCAGTTTCACTTTTGTCTGACTTTAACTGCCATCCTCATAGTTGCTAACACTCTCATGAATATTTAGGAATGTGTGATATGCAAGATTAGTACCACAGTTCATAAAGTCTTTTGCTTGTGCCCATCTCTAAATCATATAATGTATTCACACAAGATTATGGTATGCAAAATTATTGGATTAAAATAATTCAGTTTAGTAACATCTTTCCTGATAGAAATCTCAGTGCACTCACTCAATAGCTTGAAATGCACTCACTCAATAATTTGCTTATGAAGAAGTGGAGGATTGATTATTTTTCTATGAATTGTAGCTCAGTTATTTCCAAGAGATGATTGATATTGAGACAGGATTTGTATTACAAGTATTTCTATTTTGTTCTGGTTGAAGCTGCAATGCAGTAATTTTTAAAGTAACTTAGTAACTTTTGCTCACTTCCTCTGCTGGTGTCCCCAGCCTGAAAAGAACTGTTACTCCTGCTGTGCAAGACTGTGTTTCTGTTTTTGTACTTTGCAGGTCTTGACTCATCTCTTTGCCTTCAGCCAAGCCAAACTGTATTCTTTGCCCGACTGAAGGACATAGTTGTCACAGATGTTGATTCAAGGACCCTTCATAAAAAAGTACTCAACTACAAGATTTTAACTTTTACTTGATTCTTGGTTAGTTTGATGTGTATAAAAGTGAAATGTAATACACATTCCACTCTTCTAAAAGTATTTGATTTGTCATGAATAAGTATTTTCAAGTAAGATACATCATAAAAAAAAATTAATTTTACAAGAATGGATTTCTGAAAGGATTAGAAAAACTAGAAATCTAACTTGTGATCTGATAGGCTGATGGTATCTTTAGTTCTTTGTGTCATTACCTCTGCAGAAGCTGCTGATGGCTGGTGGGTGCTGTTTCTCTTTCTAGGCTGTGTCTATAGTGGGAGATGAAGTTTTCAGTTTCAATCTGACATTAAATCCTCATGCTACTGAGGGAGAAGCCTACACTGACATGTCAAAAGTGGATGGTTCTGTATGTTTGAAAGTGGGCTGCATCCAGCTGGTGTACCTTCACAAATTTCTCATGTCTCTCCTGGTAAGGCTTGTTTCCCTTTCTGTGTTTCTGCAGCATTCTCACATTAGTCTTCTGGGCTGTGCTCTCAGTACAAGTGTTAGGTTTCATTTCCTGAAAGACAAGGGTTGGGTTTAATTTTTCCTGTGTACTATTAAAAACTTTGGTTAGTAACTGATTTAAATTTCAGTTGGGTCACTTCCCACCCTCAGTTTTGGAAATAGAGAAAAACTTGGTGCTGTTGAGGTAGTATGGAGGTTTTATGTTTGCTGCCCTTTCCACCCCTAGCAAAATTCTGAGTTCATTGCAGACATGTCAGAGCTAACACTAGAGGAAAATCTTCCTGCAGGGTGGGTGTCATGATGCCTGCATATTAACCAGTGTAAATTCAGTGTGTTTGAGCATTTTAATGATGACTTTTCCAGTAAAGCACCAGTGGGCTTTCTCTCATTCAATAGGTTCTTCAGTAGGAATTCAATACTATTCAGTGAGGGCAAGAGGAGCTTTCAAAATTGTGTCTCTAAAAGCTAATGAGCTATAGAAAGAAGGAAAAATAGAGATGAATTTAGAATAAGTGGATTGCACTGGTTAGAACTTCTTGACCCTCCATTAGAGGTCATGCAGAAGGCACTCAGTTGTCTTTTCTGTGGAAAATTCATCTCCCATTGATGCAGGCAACATAATTGGCAGCAATAACTGGTGGATGATGGTGGAAAATGAAAAAGTAACCTAGAGTAAAAACTATGTACAGACATTTCTCCATTCTCTTCAACTGCTTTTCTAGACCTTCTTGAACAACTTCCAGACAGCCAAGGAGACCCTGAGTGCTGCCACAGCCCAGGCTGCAGAGAAGGCTGCCAGCAGTGTGAAGGGCCTGGCCCAGAGGAGTTTCCGCCTCGCCATGGACATTCACCTGAAAGCACCAGTCATAGTCATCCCCCAGTCCTCCATCTCCCCCAATGCCATAGCAATAGATCTGGGCTTGATTAAGGTTCAGAACCAGTTTGTCTTGGTGTCCTCTGAGGGCAGTTCACTCCCTCCAGTCATTGACAAAATGGATGTGCAGCTGACAAAGCTGAAACTGTCAAGGTACAGTGACTAATGCTCTGCAGAACTGAATGTTCATGCCTACAAACCATGATTGGTGCTAGTGTCAAATATTTGGTATTAAAATACCTTTTATCTTAGAGCAGTTAGATACCAAGTTGTACTGCCAGTAACAAAATCAGAAACTGGTTCTGCTTAGGAAAGTGTTTGGTGCTGCATTTGAGATTTTAAGATTTTCAAAAAAATCTAAGTTGTGACTTCCATCTTCCCAACTGTTTTCTTTTTTTCCTTTCTGTGTTTCCAGGATCACTTTGGAGACAGATTTGACACATCCAGATATTCAGATACTTCACCCTATTAATTTAAGCTTGTCTGTGAAAAGAAATCTCTCTGCAGCTTGGTTTCACAAGTTACCAGTGTTGGAGGTCACAGGGTATTTGGATACAATGAATGTAAGTCTTGTGAGAAGCTGGTGATAATACTGTGAGAGCAACCCTTAATGTTGTTTCTGGGCACAAAGGGGCAAAAAGCTGCTGATTTTTAGTAGGTGTGGGGTGGATTTCAGCAAAGAAATAGGATTTATCCCCACCTAGGTGAATGCAGTGGTTTGAGAGGATCACATAAATAGTTTTGTGACCAGTTCTCTGAGCAAGAATTCTTTGAAGTGAAGCAAGAATTCTTTTCTTCTTTAGAAACAGAATCTTCTTGAGAGGAGTTTAAATTCATGCAAACATTTGCTTTAGTAACTCCACCTTCCTACCTTCCCATCACCCTTGAGTTTGTTGTGGCATTTTATGTACTGTGAAAGAAAGTACCAGGGACATCTCAGGTGAAACTGAAATGGAAACATCATGGAGGGGCATGTCACTGACAGGAATGTATTAAAAGGATAGGTACATTAAATGCTGCAATGTATATTGATACAGCACTGGAGGTCACAACCTTTAATCCCCTCAGACTTTTACAATAAGTCGTTGAGGAATTTAATTTTCTTATTGAAGGGATGATTCTGCTGGCAAAATAGCTGTAAATAAGCATTCTTCTTGCCAGGAAACATTGTTCTGCTTTGTTAGCAGGTGATAAGTTCAAGGAGCAATGTGTTTTTTCCTGACAATTGTGATCTGCAACTTTTTAGGTTGTGTTAAGTCAAGAGGATTTGAGTGTCTGTCTCAAAGTGTTGACAGAAAACCTGGGTGAAGCAGAAGAGACTCAAAAGGATGCAACAAAATCAGTGCTGCAGAAGGAAGGTCAGAGATGGAATTTGTTGTGAATGCTAAGTGGGTTTGCTTTCAGGAGTAAGGAAAAGCATTTATTATCTGGAAAGGAAGTTTAGATCTGAGAGTGTGGTAATAAGCTGAGTCTAATCGATAAACTCTTTAATTTTGCAAGGACAATGTTCATACTTTGATACTTAAAAAAACTGGAAACATTACAAGACAAAATTTGGTAATTTTATTAGCTAAGTTGTCAAGGAACTAGCAAGGTGTTGAGATGTCAGAGTCATCTTATTGCCAGAACATGTTTCTATTTCCCTTTCATGCTCTGAAGTTAAAGGCTCTGCTTATGGAAATATTACTAGTTTATCTAAGGTGAATGTAATCCATCCGAATGAATTAAAGAATTGGATGTGTTTCTTGAGCTAAACAAATGATGGTAGTTTCTAAAGTTAAGCAATATATTGAATGTTCCAGGTAAAATGAAAGAAGTGGAGAGATCAATTTTGATACAGGATAAGAGTGTTTCAGAAGGATTGCTGTCTGAAAAGAGAAAAATAACATTAAATGAAGATGTAATCAATATGCTGCTTAATTTTGAAATCAAGGAGGTATGTATCCATCTGTACAACTTAATCTGAGTCCTGTACTCATCTGTTTCTTAGAAGTAGTGGGCTATAAAGTCCTTTTTAACAGTTTGACTTGACACCTGAAAGAAAAACAAGAGAAAGAGAGCAGGGGGCAGAGGAAATCTTTAGCAAATTGATCTTATGGGGTCTATTTATAAAAATGCAAAATGTCTAGGTTAATATTAAGTGTGTGTTTATAACTGCCTGCTGGGTCTGAACAGCTTCACTGAAATACTGAACTTACTTTCCTTTCTTTATTCAAGGTTAAAATAACCCTGATGAAGCAGGTTCAGAAGGAGAGATATCCATTACATATTCTAACTGTGCTACAGCTTGGCACCAAAACCAAAATTAGAAATCATGAATTGGCTGCAGCAGCATATCTGAAGAAAATTACAATGAGATGCACTGAAATACATGGTAAGACTTCTGGGGAACTGATACAATCAGTAGAGTGTGTGCAACTGGATTTGTAGCCAGAGGATAACATAGAGCAACCAATAATGAGGGGAGGGGAAAGGGTAATTTAGATAGAATGAATCTGTTTTACCTGATACCAAGTTTTACTGCCATTGCTGGAGTTAATGTGTTTGAGTGAGTTGAGTACTCTGAGCAGGAGTGTTCCTGAGCAGTATTCCAGCTGTTCAGTGGGTTTTGATGAGCTGATTTTGTGCTTTATGACCCGTTCTGGCAGCACTGGAAATGCTGCTTTGGATGGTCAGGTAACAATTCAAAGTGACAGTGAAGTGATAACTGAAATAGCCAGTTATCCAAAGTAGAAAAGTAAGGTTTTGAGTATGAAAACATGAAGGTAGGAGTGCAAAGAGCTTTCTGTTTTAAGTCTTGCTTCAAGAGCAAGATAAGTTAATTTTTCCTTGTTTAATTTAAAATGAAGTGAATATAGCTTTTCACAAAATAATGCTTCATGTGTAGCTTCTCAGTGAAAACAGCTGTTTACTTTCACTATTTCAGCAAGAATAGTATTTAGTTAGTATGTAATAGAGAATTAGCATGGAGTCATTGCACATAGGTGGAGTAAAGCTTGAGTGGAAGCACTTGACATTTTTATTTCTTTGTTTGCAGACTCAAAAGGAGATCCTCTTTGCATTCTTAATTCCTCAAGTGAGACAGATGAACATCTTTTGAAAATGGAATATATTAAGGTTTCAATACATTTTCAGTAAAATTACATGGGGAGGAAAGTAAGGCTTCCATACCTGTAGATTTGTATCTAAAACTTACCCAGGCCTTCTCCCAAATACCTGCTTTTCAGTTTAACATTTCATTTAATTCTCCACTGCTTCCATGTAGCTCTTGCTTCATAAGTCAGTGCTATTACTGAAATCCCTGGCAAGACAAATATTTGTTTGTGTTCTGTGTGTACAGCACAAATGAGCCCTGTGTGAAATTTAAAAGTTGTGATGGTCTTTGTGCAAGTGAAGAGTGACCCTGCAGGTGATGAAACTGCTTTTGAAGAGTGAGATGTTGGTAGCTTAAAAAAGCCTTTAAAAATTGCATGAACACTTGGGAATCTGATAGGTTGTAGAACCAGTGAGCTCCTCAATACTCTTATCTGGACTGGCATCATTTACATAGTGAAAAGTAATTAATTTGTACTGGCAAAGGATTAAGCATAAATGGATCCAGTTTAAATAGATTCTAGATGAGACAAAGTTTTGTAACTGGCTAGTTGAATTTTGAAAAAATAGGTGCTATGAAATTGCTTTGAGCAGAGCATTGTGAGTAAATTATTCTGGTTATCTTGCTTGTGCATTATTTGAAGAACTTGTTTGTTCAGGCTTCATCACTTTCCTTTGTTTTCTTTTCCAATTGGAATAATCCTAAATATTTTCCAATTGTATGTGGCTTAAATTCAAATAATTCAGTTAATAAAATTATTTATAATTAATTAATGGCTAATTCAATAGAGACTGACTGTGTCCCTTTTCTTTTGTTTTTTCCCTTTAGGCTGATCCTGATGGACCAGACTTTGTTACTGCTTACAAAAGCACCAAGCAAAACATGAATGTAAGTACTGGATGTACTTAATTTGTTGTTTTAAGCTTTTTGAATCATAGCAGCTGTGTTAGTTAGTCCCTTTTTTTTTTTCTTATTGAAGAGGGAAAAAAAGGGAACAAACCCAACCCAAAACCAAAGCCCTGACTCTCATCATTAAAACCTACTGCTTTATATTTAACTACTTCAAAGACAAATGCAGGTAGAAAAAAAAAGATTTTTTTTTACTGAAAATAAATTATAATTATAATATATAATATATATAAATATGATATTATAAAATAATAAAATATAATAATAAAAATATATAAAATATATAAATAATAATAAATATAATATATATAAATATATATTTATATGTATTTATATATCAATATAAATATATAAAATAATAATAAATATAAAAATATAATAATAAAATTATATATAATATATAAATAAATTTATAATTATAAATAATAAATTATTATTTATTGTAATAATTTTTTTAAACTAAAAACTATACAGTTTTTGCTAGTTAGAAAAATGTCCTTATGAATTTTAACTGAGGCCTTTAGCATGTGCTTTGTTTGTGGAGTGGTGCACTTGGCACAGGGATAAACCAGGGCCTTGTGTTTCTGGGCTTGTAACAGTAACAGTGAAACTGAGCTGTGAGCTGGAGTATCCAAGGAGCATTCTCAGTCCTTTTACTTCTCTGAAAGCAGCTATTCATGAGTAGTTTTTCAGTGACTTCTGGAGTAAGCATGTCATTGTGCTTTTGAAATGTTTCCTTTAAAACAGTAGTGGTGGGTCAGGCAGCTTCTCCAGGGCCTTGTGTGTAACGAGTGGCTGGTGCTGGGTTTCACTCAGCAGCACTGGCAGGAGTGGTTGCTGCTCACATACTCCCTGCTCTGATTGCAAGTTTTGGATCTTAGTGGGTTTTTTTTGTTGTTGTTGTTGTGCCATATCTCCTAAAACATCTTCACACGTGGTTCTGAAGTTGTCAATCAAAATGCTGAATGCAATGCAATCAATGAAATGCAGCAGAACTCCAGAGAATGTCCTGAAAAGGCACAACCACGTGAGGCCTCCGTTTTTAGATTGGCACAGTTCCTCTGTAGCTGCTGTCAGCTTCCCTTCCACAGCTCCCTCATCTGTTCTGGAGCTTGTGAGGTTGAAGAGGATGGAGATAGAAGACTGAAATACTTGTGACATTGAGCAAGAGGCTTTTTTTCCTTGGTTCTATGACAGCACCTCTGAGTTGTTAGGGTATAAACTGCTACTAAATGACAATATGACTTTGTCTCCTTGCTTTCCTTTCAGGTCATCTTTTCCTGTTTGGATATAGTGCTTCACACTGAGGCTTTGCTTTCCATCATGGGTTTCCTCACCTTCAGTGTTCCATCAGGTGGTCTTCCCAGTGCTGAGAAATCTTCAGAGCACAAGCCTCCAATGAAAGAGCAGGAAAAAGGAAGCACTCTTAGAGCAGGTAGTGTCATGTTACACAGGCTGTACTTGTGTTGTTTAACAGCGTCTCACCTTCAGCTTCACAGGATATTATTTCCAATGACAGCATTGCAGTCTATTTGGTAGAAAACAAAGCATGCACAACTGTAAAATGGGAGCAAATCTTATTAAAAAAAAACCCAGCAGACATTTTTCCTGTTGCTTAATTTTACAAATTCTCCTTACTCAATATAACTTCCCTGGGTGGTGGTCTGATTTTCATAATGAAAGTTGAATAAATGATGTTGCAGTGTGCAGCCTTTCCAAAGGTTTAATGTCACAACCATGTAGCTTTGCAATCTGAGAGCTCTAAAGAGTGCTTACATGGCTGAAAATAAATACTGCTCTGGGGAAGCAAAGAGAAGTTCTGAACTGAAGGGGTGGTGTGTTTATTTTAGGTATGTATGGGTCTTGTAACCTTGAAATTGGAAGAGTTTTTACATGGAAGCTCCTGAATATTTTGTCAGGTCCTGTGTTGTTGATTCTTGGGCTTGTAGTTTTTGTAAAATTCAAGGTTTTCTAATCTGAAACTATTGGGATTGAGTCCAGTGGCTGTTCCATTTTCTGTTTGTGCAGTGTTGCTGCAGCTAAAGTGCCTAAATTGGCTTTGCTACTTGACACAGAGAGGAGCACTTCTCATGTGATGAGACAGTGTTTCAGTAATGTGGGGTATACTGCACTCAGCAACTGATGCATGAAAAGTAGGTATTAATGAGGAGAAAAGACATCTTGATGGCTTTGTTGATTGGTGACAGTTTGTGTGCCTGAAGGAAACTCTTAATAAATTACTTTTTTCACATTTTGACTAAGGATTATCATATCTTTTAAGGAATGACTGCAGGCTGCTTTTGAATAGTTCATATATTTACAGAACTTCTAGTCTAATGTTTGTTTAAACAGTGGGCTTGTAATATTTGAACTCTTGTATGTCTCTTGTGTTTCCTGCCCAGTGTCTGGTGATGCAGCCCATGATGATGTCTCTGAATTAAAGCTCACTGCAAAGCTGAATGCATTCAGTATTACAGTGTGTGATCAGACCTGCACAATTGCAGACATTAGAGTACAAGGTAAGGTGGGTTTTATTTAAATACTAAATGAAACTGGCTGTAGCCAGAAATGGGCTGTTTCCCTCCCTTCACTTCTCAAGGGCCAGTGTCTGCACTGCAGGTGTCTCTAACATTTGCTGAAATATATTTTGATTGTATGAAATGATCTGCAAGGAAAAGAAATGTTTGATTCAGAAAACAGAGACGATTTCTAAGTGTAGTAAAATTAAAAGAAGTGAAGGCACTATGTTTTAGATAACACAGATTTCCATTTTTTAATAGCTAGATCCTAGATAGTGTTGGGGAATTGTACTCTGCTCTTACAATCAGGTTATGTTGGCAACTTTGTCATGTGCAGTAAGGCCCTGACTTCTCTCTCAGGTTAGCAATCATTGTTACATAGCAGAGGGCTGGATTTAAAGCTGTTATTATTCTTTATATCCAGTAGTAAATAATTCTGGGGGTTTGATTGTTTGTTTGTTTTTTAGCAGAAGTGTTTACTTAGACATTTGTTGAACTGCATTTATTTCCTTCCTTCTTTTGTTTCATTCAGGAATGGATGCATCTGTGGCTATGAAGCCTAAAGAGATTAAAGTGTTCTCCAGACTTAAGGACATTGTAATTACAAATGTTGATCCAAAAACAATCCATAAAAAGGTAATGTGTTTAGCAGATTGTGAACAACTGATGAGATACAGTTTTTCAAGTGATTTAGAGACAGCACTGTAGTTTAATTTGCTGTGTAACAGAATGCAATGTACAATGTAATATTAAGCAAAATGTATTGGTAAAGGATAATTTCCTTCCCCTCAGAGAAGCAAAACATTCTTCCAATTAATGTTTAGTTCTTTTTAATTACATCTGTGCTGGTATGTTTAATTCTGAGGAGCAGGGATTAAATATAAAATGGGCTATGGATGAGCAAGTGAGAAGAGGCATGTTCTATAAAATAGGAGATTCTGTTTCCTTTTGTGCCTACCATGTGTCCAAGTACTGCTTCTGCTGTGGATCTTTTTGGGGAAATATTTTTTGTTTCAGAAATACCTGGTAGTATTAACTGTGTGAACTTAATCTTCTAGGCTGTCTCCATAATGGGAGATGAAGTGTTTAGATTCCACATGTCACTTTATCCAGATGCCACTGCAGGGGAGGCCTATGCTGATATGTCAAGGGTGGATGGTAAAATGTCTCTGAAAGTGGGCTGCATCCAAATAATTTACCTGCATAAGTTCTTCATGTCTCTCTTGGTAAGACATTAGTTTAAGTTCTTTTCTTGACATTCAAAGTTCTTTTTAATGAGATAAAATGCAGTCAGCTCATTTTGCCCTGTGCCTGGTGGTGAGCTGATGTGCAAGCACATAGAAGTATTTTGCATTAGAGTTACCATTTAAGTTGCACTGCTTTGCAGAAGATTGCCAAGGAGAATGGTGACAGAAGTAATGAATGGAGCTGATAGCTTTCATAATATCTTAAAAATTACACAGTTAAATAATGCTTAAGCTTATTCATGATTTTAACATTTTTCTCTTTTGAAACAAGTGTGGTTGAATTAGCAATTTCATAAACCAGAGGTGTAAATTTTTTTAAATTTCCATTTTGCCTGGACGTTGCCTTTGAGAAGCTTACTTGTTTTCATGGAACTTTTTTCCCCTACCTGTGAATAGAACTTCCTGAACAATTTCCAAGCAGCACAAGAAGCCCTGACTGCAGTCACTGCACAGGCAGCAGAAATGGCTGCTTCCAGCATGAAGGACTTTGCTAAAAAGAGCTTCCGCCTCCTGATGGATGTCAACTTGAAAGCTCCAGTCATAGTTGTCCCTGAATCTTCAGCTTCATCTAATGCTTTGGTAGCTGATCTTGGCTTAATCAGAGTTCAGAATGAATTCAAGCTGGTGTCCTCAGATGAATCTCCTCTCCCTCCAGTCATTGACAACATGGATGTGCAGCTGACTCACTTGAAATTATCAAGGTAAATATGGAGCTGTTTCCTGAGTTGGTGTCTTTGTAGAGGAAAAGTGTCCATGTTCTGTATGCAGCATTCTTCTCTTATTTGAACATGGTAGGCAATGAGAACATGCTGAAACCAAGCAAAAAACCATGCCAAGCTGAGTTTAGGAGTGCTCTTAGATAGAGTCACAGGTCAACAATCTCTAAACCTTCTTGGAAAGAAAGCAATGACAGCACAGTAACTTGAGTTCATCTGGAGTGCATATAAGGGTGTAAGTGCCTATGAGCTTATTCTTGAATGAATTATGCCTGTAATTTTGCTAGATTAATGTGATATTATTTTGCCTTCTGCAACCAGTCAGCATTTTCCCTCTGTTACTTCCATTGTCTTTTTTTAGGTGCATTATATCCACAGATTCACAACCAGATTCTGAAATTCTGCGTCCTGTGAGTTTGACTTTACTGGTCCAGAGAAATTTAGCAGCAGCATGGTATCATAAATGCCCAACAATTGGTATCAAAGGAGACCTAAAACCAATGCAGGTAATATCATGAGTAATTAAAACTAAATCAAAAGTTAGATAATCAGAATGGTCCTCAGTCTAGTTAAGGATCTTTTAAACTAATTGCAGTTAGTGTCCTTTACAGTTTGTTGAAAGACTTCCAGCTGGATCATCCAGTTTATAGATTTGTTAGAGTTTTGATAGTGTATAATGAACAGTTTTGGTGTAGCTGCATGCAAGTGGAATAAAATGTGGTTTTGTTTTTCTGGAGGTCCTTTGGAGCTATCCATGGACTCAACAGGCAGTAAAATCATTGAGGTTATTTGTTGAGTTATCATCTAAAAACAAAACTTGACAATTCAAATTGTTTAATCTGTAACATTCAGGTTATTTGAATGCTTAATAGATGTATTAGGAATGAAAAGATAATTTTAATTGTTGTGTATTGGAGATAATCTTTGCAGAGGGAGTATTATCTTTGTATTTTTCTTTTCCTGCATTAACCACGTGGATTTTAATGGGTAAAACTGGGGCACCTTTTCCTTGTTCCTGAGCCCTTTTCCTTGTTCATTCCTGTATCTGTGCTGTGGCCAAATGTCACACTGGTGAAGCACAGAGAAATAAGACATTTAAAGGAGTACCAGCAAAATTAATCAAATGTAGGAAAAATATTCTTACACTGTGTGCTATGGGCTAAGTGACTGCAAATTGTCACTTACACTGCTTGCTTTTCTGTGATTCTGTAATGTTGTGACTGGATACTTATTCATGAAATCTTTGAAGGGCTACTGAATGGCAATTGCTTTACTGTGTACAATGCAAATCTTGGCTTTAATATTTTCTGGTCATGTTTTTGGGTTGCTGAATTGTTGAGAAGTGCTTATGTTTCTCAATTACCCATATTTTTAATAGGCAAGGATCCTTTACAAATCTACAAAGTGTGTGTTCATCATATGGAGTGTTATTTCTTGTTGAAACTCTTGTTTATAACAGTTAAAAAAAGATACAGGATAAATGGGTAAATAATTTTGATTCTTTTGGACAGGATAATTGTGACTGTCTCGTTTGTTTCTGCTGGAAGCAGCCCATGGTTTCTCCTCAGAGCTTGCATACTGTGTTGGAAATGTTGTCACCAAAACTGAACTTGTGGCTTTATCACTTTACAGATTGCACTCAGTGAAGGTGATCTAACTGTTGTCATGAAGATTTTACTTGAAAACCTTGGAGGGGCTTCTTCCCAGCCACATACTGTGCAGGAGAATATTGAGGATATGCAGATACCTAAAAAAGGGAAAGCTCCACATGAATCTGGTGGCTCTGAGGGTATGTTCAGTTCAAAGGCTGAATATGTGTAGGCAGAGGGCTGTTTGCAGATTCAAATATCATATTTTTCTGAAGCATTACAAATTGTTTTAACTGTTACAAACATATTGTATAGATGAAAAGTTATACATAAGAATGTATGCACTTCTATGGAGTGTGAGCTCCTGATGGTCAGAAGTTTTTGTGGTGTGTTTTTTGTGATTCATTTCTCATATGATGGTGTTGTTCAGTTTATATCAATCACTCTTCTGTCTGCATGTGGTTAAAAAAGAAAAAAGCCAAATCATCTACCCCAGAATGTTAATGCACAATTATAACAATCAAGGAAGATACAGATATTCAAATAGTGAGTCGGTGTGAACAGTGCATGTCTCTGGATGAAGTGTTGTTAACACTTTGCCACATCTATTTCTTCCCCAAACTTAACATTTTCACTGTCAAAAAATTGCTGTTTAACCAATAGTTGAATGGCTCTGCTGTGAATAGGAACTGGAAGGAAGGGTACTGCAGACTCCTTGGGCAGACTTGGTACTTTATATTGTTCTTCAATAAAGTGAACAAAGAACTTCAATAAACTAATGACAGCTTCTTTTAAGGTTCTCATCCACTCTGTGCTAGATAATTTTATTTTGCATTGGGTAGAACAAAATTAAAAATGTGAATTGAGTAGTTTTCTAATTTAGAGCTTTCCCTCTTTTTGTGATTTTCTGGTCTTAAT